GTCCGAGCCTGGCTGGGAGAACTGACAAGGAGCTGGGTGCTCACAACTGTGGGAGGCTTGTGTGCTGGGACTGTGAAAACACGGTGGCTGCCTTGGAGGGTGCAGGGTGTGGCTGGGACTTTGGGCAGTCACTGTGGCGGCTCTGCATGCTCGGGGCTCCCTGATCCCTAGTGAGGGTCATTTCTGTGGTATCCAGTTTATACCAAGATCATTTCTGTGGTTCTTATGGCAGCACAGATGAATACTGTACCCAATGGAGCTAGTGACCAGGCACTGGGCTCCTTGGAGGAGAGCAGATGCATGAGAGCACAACATCAGAGCAAAACAAACCTCCCTTCTGATTAAAAAGAGAGATTTACCATGACCAAAACTGGGTGTCAACTTGGATACTACCTTCACCCTGAAACACTGAACAGAGCTCCCTGGCCAAATCCACCATACATCTCTGGGTATTCACTGAAAAAGTGGACACTTCACTAAGCCACAGATGCATAGCCCGAAGAGAAAAGCCATCACAGGGGAAAAACAAAACAAAAAAGAAACCAACAAGTATTTCCAAAAATGCATAATAATAAATGCAGCAATTCAAGGAACAAGAATAAGGAAGACAATTTGAAGCCCCCAAAAGAACACAGCACTTCAATAACAGAATGTGAAGATGAAAAAATTGAAGAAATGAGAGAAATGGAATTCAATAAATTGATCATACCATTACTTAGAAGTAACCAAAAGCAAATGCACGCACTAATGAAATCCGTACATGACATGAAAGAAATTTTTTCCCATGAAATTGAGATCTTAAAGAGAAATCAAAATCAAATATTAGAAATAAAGAATTCAATAGAATAAATAAAAATGCAGTGGAGAGCCTTAACAACAGAATTGGTGAAGCATAAGAAAGAAAGAAAATCAGACTTAGAAAACAAAGCACAGGAAACTATACAGTCAAACCAAAGACAAGAGGAGGAAATTAGAAAACTAAAAAAAACTGTTGGGAATATATAGGATACTATAAAATGACCCAATATACAGGTTCTAGGAGTTCCTGAAGGCATGCAAAGAAAGAAAGGTTTAGAAGGCCTTTTTAGTGAAATAATAACAGAAAACTTCCCTAATTTGGAGAAGAAAGGGACATCCAAGTACAGAACTCCTAATAGACATGATCAGAAAAGATCTTTACCACAACACATTGTAATCAAACCTCTACAGTAAAACATAAACATTCTAAAATGTGCACGAGAGAACTGCCAGATTACTTTCAGAGGATCTCCAATTAGACTCACAGCTGACTTCTCATTAGAAACTCTACAAGCTAGGAGACAATGGCAAGATATATTCCAAGTCTTAAGAGAAAAATACTGGGGGCTGGTGCTGTGGCATAGCAGGTAAAGCCTCTGCCTGTGGTGCAGGCATCCCATATGGTCACTGGTTCTACTCCCAGCTGCTCCACTTACCATCCAGCTCTCTGCTATGGCCTAGGAAAGCAGTAGAAGATGGCCCTAATCCTTGGGCTCCTGCACCCATGTGGGAGACCTGGAGAAAGCTTCTGGCTCCTTGCTTTGGATCAGTGTAACTCCGGCCATTGGGGAAGATGGAAGACCTTTCTCTCTGCCTCTGCCTCTCTGTAACTCTGCCTTTCAAATAAATAAATCTTTAAAAAAAGAGAGAGCGAGAGAAAAATACTGTCAATCCAGAATACTGTATCCTGTAAAGCTCTCATTTATGAATGAAGGTGAAATAAAAACCTTCCATAACAAACTATCCCTATGTGTAGATGACATGATTCTATAATTAGGGGACCCAAAAGACTCCAATAAGAGATTACTGGAACTCATAGAAGAGTTTGGTAAAGTGGCAGGATATAATATCAACACACAAAAATTAATAGCCTTTGTATACACAGACAACGCCACAGCTGTGAAAGAACTTCTAAGATCAATCCCATTCACAATAGCTACAAAAAATTCAAATACCTTGGAATAAATTTAACCAAGGTTGTTAAAAATCTCTACAATGAGAATTACAAAACATTAAAGAAAGAAATAAAAGATACAAAAAAAAATTAAAAAAATCTTCCATGTTCATGGATTGGAAGAATCAATATCATCCAAATGTCCATACTACTGAAAGCAATTTACAGATTCAATGTGATACTAATCAAAATATCAAGGACATTCTTCTCAGATCTAGAAAAAAATGACACTGAAATTCATATGGAAACATAGAAATAGCTAAAGCAATCTTATACATCAAAAACAAAGCCAGAGGCATCACAGTGTCAGATAGATTTCAAGACACATTATAGGGCAGTTATAATCAAAACAGCCTGGTAATGGTACAAAAACAGATGGATAAACCAATGGAACAGAATAGAAATGCTAGAAAATCAATCCAAGCATCTACAACCAACTTATATTTGACAAAGGAGCTAAAATCAATCCCTGGAGCAAGGACAGTCTATTCAACAAATGTGCTGGGAAAACTGGATTTTCACATGCAGAAGTATGAAGCAAAACCTCTACTGATACAATCTACACAAAAATCCACTCAAAATGGATTAAAGACCTAAATCTATGATCTGATATCATCAAATTACTTGAGAACACTGGGGAAAAATCCTGCAAGACATTGGCACAAAGAATTCTTGGAAAAGACCCCGGAGGCACAGATAGTCAAAGAAAGTTAAAATTGACAAATGGGATTATATCAAATTGAGAAGCTTCTGTACTGCAAAAGAAACACTCAGGAAAGTGAAGAGGAAACCAACAGAATTGGAGAAATTATTTGACAACTATGCAGCTGATAAAGGACTAATAACCAGAATATATGTAAAGAGATCAAGAAACACAACTAAACAATCAAGTTAAGAAATGGGCAAAGGACTTTAACAGACATTTTTCAAAAGAAGAAATCCAAATGGCTAACAGACACATGAAAAATGCTCAGGACCACTAGCCATAAGGGAAATGCAAATCAAAACCACAATGAGTTTTCACCTCACCCCAGTTAGAATGACTTTCAAACAGAAATCAACAAACAACAAGTGCTGGTGAGAGTGTAGGGAAAAAGGTGCCATAAACCACTGTTGGTGGGAATGTAAACTGATAAAGCCACTATGGAAGACAGTATGAAGATACCTCATAAATCTGAAAACAGACCTACCATATGACACAGCCATCCCACTCCTTGGAATTAACCCAAGGGAAATGAAATCAGCATACGAAAAAGTTATGTGTACTCCCATATTTATTGCAGCTCAATTCACAATAGCTAAGGTATGGCATCAACCCAAATGCACATCAACTGAAAACTGAAAACTGAATAAAGAAATGATGGGATATGTATACGATGGAATACTACACAGCAGTAAAAAACCAACCAAACAAAATCTGGTCATTTGCAACATAAAGGATGAAACTGGAAAACATCATACTTGGTGAAATAAGTCAGTCCCCAAAGGACAACTACTATATGTTCTCTGTGATAACTAACAAAACACCTAAAAGGTAATCAATCCATAGAAGTGAAATTAACACTTTGAGAACAGTGATTTTGAACAGCCATTGTCTCCATTGTTGAGGAAAGTGTTTTTCACATACTATTTGTTGAACTCTTTACTTAACACAGTTAATCATATACGTATAAAGTTAATTCAAAATAGATCTTAGTAAAAAAAAATGAATCTCATAGTAAATAGCACGCATAATATCAGAGCATCAAAATTTGTACCAGTTCCAAGTGCAGTTTTTTAAAGGTTGATTAAAAAAAGCACTATAACATGCAGTGAATTGTGTTACAGGGGCAATTTCTGAATTTAGAGAATCCCGATCTTTTGTGAAAAGACAGTAAGCATACGTAACCTCCGCCCAGGAGCAGATTTCTATTATGCTGGAAAAGAAACCAACTGTCCTTTATAGTGGAGAGAGGCACTGTCCTGTCCTCAGGAATGCTAACTCCTCAAATATTCTGGAAAATCCATTCTAGAACAAGGGTCACAATCTCTGATCGTAGAAGTACTGAAATGTGAGACCCAGGACAATTGTCTCCCTGCAGTGTCAAGTGGAAATCCAGGTAAAAGAGAGGGTGTGCTCACTTCTCAGATTTGTCCACAGAATTGTCTTCTGTATTTTATCATTGTCTGATTTTGCTACTGAACTTATCAGAACTCTAAAATCACTAGGAAATCTTGCCCTCTTGCTTCCATCCCAGAATAGTTGATATGACATAGTATTTGTGTGTTCTTTGAAAGTCTGGCGGAACCATTGCAACAGTGCTCTATTTCATGGTGGTAATTGCAATTCCCATTTCAATTATTCCTGTGGTTAATGATCTACCTGAGTTTCTACCTCAATTGAATCAATTCTAGCAAAAATATTCATAGAAAATTGATTTTTAGGGGCTGGCGCCATGGCTCACTTGGTTAATCCTCCACCTGCGGCACCGGCATCCCATATGGGCACCAGGTTCTAGTCCCAGTTGCTCCTCTTCCAGTCCAGCTCTCTGCTGTGGCCCGGGAGTGCAAGTGGAGGATGGCCCAAGTGCTTGGGCCCTGCACCCACATGGGAGACCAGGAGAAACACCTGGCTCCTGGCTTTGGATCAGCGCAGCGCTGGCCGTGGCAGCCATTTGGGGAGTGAACCAATGGAAGGAAGACCTTTCTCTCTGTCTTGCTCTCACTGTCTATAACTCTACCTGTCAAAAAAATAAATAAAAATTTTAAAAAATTTAAAAAAAGAAAATTTATTTTTAGATTTTCAATATAGTTATTAGCAAGCAATATCACATAGCTGGGTAATTATTTTTAAATCTTTAAGTCCTGGAGCTACGTTTTCTTTCCTTATTCCTTTGTTATATTATCTTTTCTTTCTTAACTGCAGGAAAAAAAGTCAGTCTGTGCAAAGAACAAACTGTTGTGTTAGAAACAGTTATTCTACTTTATTGGATGAAGTGCTATCCAATCCTACAGTAGAAAATAAAGTCAATTCACATCTGTTTTTAAAAAAAGAAAAGAGGGGCTGGCATTTGGCTTAGTGCTTAAAAACACAGCCTGCAGTGCCAGCATCCCATGTGGGTGCCGGTTCGAGTCCAGGCTGTTCCACTTCCAATCCAGCTCTCTGCTGTGGCCTGGGAAAGCAACGGAAGATGGCCCAAGTGCTTGGGCCCCTGCACCCACGTGGGAAACCCAGAAGAAGCTCCTGGCTCCAGATTGATCCAGCTCTGGCCATTGTGGCCATCCGGGGAGTAAACCAACAGATGGACGACCTCTTTCTCTCTGCTTCTGCCTTTCTGTAACTCCACCTTTCAAATAAATAGATAAATCTTGAAAAAAAAAAAAAAAGACACAATCACAGCAGCTGTCCTTGACCCAGGGGGAGCTTTGTTTTTGTTCCTCTGGGGACAAACACCCCTACGCAACACCTCCTAGCCAGCGCAGAGGGTGGAGAGGGTTCCACCTCTCCAACACTGAACCCTGACCACAGATACCACCTGTTCCTCTAACAGCTGAATTTTAGATCTTGCTGGGATTACATTGCCTGTAAAAATCGGCTTATCATTGCCACTGCAACCCCTTTTTTGTGTGTGGTTTGGACTGGTACTTTTTGCTCTCAGTCATCTTCAAGTTCAGTTTCAACTGTGGGCTAACTTCAGGCAACTTCCAGATCCTCAAAGGATCTGGGGCAGTACTTCCAGGGCCTGCAAACAACCTGTCATTCGGTATCAGCTTCGCTGAGAGGACACACAGAGCGAATCCACCTGACCCACGATCGCGTGGCTTCCTGCCAGACTACGAAGCACAAGGCTTTCAGATTACACACTGACGTGAAGACAGAAACGTCTGCTGAACACTGAGTGAGCCCAGGCTCACCAGGTTCCCCGGGTCAGGTTACAGGCTGGGACAAGGTAAGAACACTGCAATTTTTATGTTTAATTTCTTTTTGAAAGAATTTCTCAGTGTGAAAGTGAGTCCCCAAGTCCCACGGTGCGGGTATCTCACTCTTCTGGGCAGGTCTCTGAGCCTTTGTGGTCGGGGAAGATGGATAGATAATGAGAAAAGTTCTATACTGCCTATCCTGAGTCTTCTCAAAACCGCTGTGTGTGGGGCCGGCATCGTGACACAGGAGCCTGCATCCCACAGGGGCGCTGGTTCAAGTCCTGCCTGCTCCACTTCCAATCCCCAGCTCCCTGCTGATGCGCCTGGGAAAATAGAGGAAGATGGCCCCCAAGTATTTGAGCCTCTGCCACCTGCAAGGGAGAGTCGGCTGGAATTGCGGGCTCGTGGTTGCTGTGGACATTTGGGGAATGAACCACCGGATGGAAGACCTCTCTCTCTCTCTCTCTCTCTTTATCTCTCCTCTCTCTGTGTAACTCTGTCTTTCAAATAAATAAATAAATCTTTAAAAAGAAAAAACCTTTCTGGGCAATGTCTCATCACAACACAGTTATTGCTTTTTTTTAAAGATTTATTTATTTTATTTGAAAGTCAGAGTTACACAGAGAGAAGAAAGGTAGAGAGAGAGAGAGGTCTTCCATCCGCTGGTTCACTCCCCATATGACTGCAACGGCCTGAGTTGAGTTGATCTGAAGCCAGGAGCCAGGAGCCTCTTCTGGGTCTCCCACGTGGGTGCAAGGGCCCAAGGACTTGGGCCATCTTCTACTGCTTTCCCAGGCCTTAGCAGAGAGCTGCATCAGAAGTGGAGCAGCTGGGTCTTGAACTGGCGCCCATATGGGATGCTGGTGCTTCAGGCCAGAGCATTAACCTGCTGTGCCACAGCACCAGCCCCTATTAATTGTTTTTAAAGTACAAAATGCTTCCATTTCTTTTTGATCATTTGCATCCAAATCAATCAGAAAGGAGTGAAAAAAAAGTATCTTTCCAGGTACCAAGCCTCCAAAACAAACTGCTTTTGCCAAAGAACCTTCAAATCTGAGAAATTAAGTTTATTATATTTGCTATTTTTCAGACTTTGGCAAGACAGAGAAAGTTATTCAAAATGCAGTTTTTCTGATTATTATTATAATTACTTATTTGAAAGTCAGAGTTAGAGAGAGAGAGAGAGAGGGATAGAGAGATCTTCCATCCTCTGGTTTTCACCCCAAATGATCACAACAGCTGAGGCAGGGCCAGGCCCAAGCCAGGAGCTTCTTCTGGGTCTCCACATGGGTGCAGCAGCCCAAGCACTTGGGACATTTTCTGCTGCTTTCCCAGGTACATTAGCAGGAAACTGGATCGGAAGTGGAGCAGCTGGGACTCGAACCAGCACCCATATGGGATGCTGGTGCTGCAGGGGACAGCTTTATCCACTGCACCATAATGCCGGCCCCAGCATTTCTGCCTTTCATTCCAATATGTGTAACATAGGATCACAATAGGGCTTGGGGGGAGGGGAGGAGACTTGAAAATTGTTATCTTGGTTTATTTCTCTCTCTACAGTTTAAAGAGCTAAGAACATAAATTACTTGTTCATAAAGATCATCAACTGTTGCAATTTTGACCTCAGTTTTAAAGCTAAGTGATTTCACAGGACTAAAGGTCATTTTTCAAACTGCTCACAGTGTTAGCAAGGGTCATTTTAATTAAAAGCACACTAACACACTCCAGTAATGGTTATAGCCATTTTCAAAGGAAGAAAACTAAAGGGGAGCTCAACTTGGGTGTGCACACTTCTCATAACCCAAACCACACCTTTCCCGTCTCCACACAGTATCTCCTCTAACAGACATGCCGGTACTGACGGCAAAATGCAAACAGGACACGGAAGGCATCTGTTTGGTTGCTGGGCAGCAGTTCAACCTATTCTAGAAATGTTTCATCACAAAGCAGACCCACGCTTGCTTCATAAGCCCTGCCCTTTCTCTACTTTCCATCCAACTTTGTTTTTTTAAAAAAAGAAGGAAACAAAAATTGAAGATGGAAAACTTTATAAATATTTTAGGGAAGAAAGCTAAATTCCGTTAATTAGCTGAATAAGCTCAAAGTACTGGACTACGAATAATCTGAGCTACAAGCATTTTAAAAATTGAAAGCATCAGCCCAGCCCAGTCTTCAGCGGACGCTGATGGTGGAGAGGTGAACCTGGCACTGTCTTCCAAAGGCTCTGCCCTAGCAATCTTACATCTGGAAATGCATCCTGGAGGATGTAATGCTAGTTGCTTTTTTTTTTTTTTTGCTGCAAATACAGTGCTTTGTCCAACAAATTGAGAGGAATTCTATACTACTATAGTTTTAATAATTTTGTGACTATTTCAAAATTTATATGAGTGAAGCTGAAAACACCTTTTCCTCTGATGATAGTTTATAGCCTTTGCCTATTTTCCTGCGGGACTAGGGTCTTTTAACTTTTTACTTGTTGAACCCTGTGCTTACTGGAGCATTAAACTTTTGAGTATAATTTAAATTAAAAATGGGCTACATCAAAAATAATAAATAAAATATTATGTTTTAAAGGTTACTGGTATCTACAACTTCCTTTGAAAGGAATCATAAATAAAACATGAATTGATGGAGGGATAGAGGTCTGGATAAAGGACAGTTATACAAAAATGAAAATAAAATATTAATTGTAGACTATAAATGATAGGCATATACATAACTATTTTTTTCTACTTCTTTTAAAACTGATAAATTTTTAGAGAAAATTTAATTAATTGTGCATCATGTTAAATACATTATTATTGTTGTTATCACCAGCATTACTTAGTAACAACAGGAATGGGTAAAACTTACTTAGTAGCTAAATTTGTCAATCACTTTTGAAAAATTTATTCGTTGAAAGTTAGGAGACAGAGAATGGGGGAGGGAAAGAGAAACACTGACAGAGATCTCTCATCTGCTGACTCACTGAAGATTTCAGAAATAATGTCACAAGATAACGGGTAAATATTTTTAAAGTTCTAACAGGAATAAATCAACAACAAGAGTCACTGTGCACTTGTTCCCTATGTAGGACCTCTGTCCTTAATGTGTTGTACTATGAGAATAATGGTAAAACTAGTCTTCAAACAGTACTTTGTGTGTCTGTGTGGGTGCAAACTGTTGAAATCGTCAATTAGTATAGAGTTGATCTTCTGTATATAAAAATAATTAAAAATGAATTTTAATGAATAATGGGATGGGAGAGGGAATAGGAGATGGGATGGTTTGCAGGTGGGAGGGTGGTTATGGGGGGAAGAACTGCTATAATCCAAAAGTCGTACTTTTGAAATTTATATTTATTAAATAAAAGTTCTCTACTAAAAAAAAGTCCCAACAGAAAATAACTCAAACCTTGGAATTCTGTACCTAAACTATCGGGAAGGAAGTCAAAATAAAGGTAATGGTATTTCTGCAAATATAGTTTTGCCAAACTTTGCTTTATATCTTTATCAAACCAATGTTATACTAGTACAGTTTGAATGATCTGTTATTATTTTCAAAGTTACTGTATATAGATGAAACGGCCATCTTTCCACCTGATTGTTGCCTTTAGCCCTGCTGATATACCTGCTGAACTACGGTCTACTTGTTGAACTCTATCTCATGGAGCTTTAGGCCCTTGAATATAATGTCCATTAAAAATATGTTATCTCATAAAATAAAAAAAGGGAGAGAGAGAGAGAGAGGAAGGAAGGAAGGAAGCAAGCAAGCAAATAAGAGGAAGGGAATATCATTCTATTCTTAGAATTTTGTCTATGAACTACATTGGATCTGTTCTCTTTATGCTAATATCACATTAGCATAAAAAATAAATTAAATTTAAAAAGACAAGGGACCAGACATTTCCTATTACAATTTATCACTGCATAAACTGCTAAATGATATAGAAAAAATGGAATTGAATTCAGAGATAAGAAGTGGAATGAAAAATGAGTAATAAAATCATTTCTAATACATTGATGAATTAAATAAGATTTAATGATATCATCACCAACACCGTAATTATTGCAGGATTTTATAAAGGGTAAACAACAGCATGTAAAAGGGCGAGTAGAGATCCAAATAAATGATCCCAGGAAGAGGTAAGATCCATGAAGAGTCAACCAAAACCTAACTGCCCAGAAAGGAGGAACCACAGACCCCAGACCAGTGCCTGGTAGGAAGTTAGACAATCACAGTGAGCCCAAGGAAGGCAGGAAGGAGGAAATAAATCCTGGTATCTCCATATCAGTGAACATGATTCACATGTTTAGTGTGGATTTGATCGGTGTTGTGACAAGCAAAAGTGTCGATGATGCACTGAGTGAAAATATGATACAAAGAAAATGAAAAGATATAAATATTTTTATTATTTTTAAAGACACAGAAATCTGGATACACAAATAACTATACTTATATGTAAACAGCCATATATCGGTTCATATTTATCTATAGAGAGATGTCTATAATTCAAATAGAAAGATTGATACAGTTGATAGGAGGTAGAAGAAAATGTTTGTATGCTAAAATGTTGTCAATGATTTTCTCTGAGAAGTGAATCTACAAGTGTTCTCTAAAAATCATTTTTCTTTCATTTTCTGTATTTTCACAATAAACATAAGAAATCATTACATTAAAATATTACAATGGATATATATAAAAATATTTATAGTATTCAATTTTTTCAGTGATAAAATAGCAATCAAAAATGACAAGTAGGAGGCAAGGCAGAGTTAAGAGAAAAAGCTTAAATAAATGAAAATATGTTAAAAGTTTCAAGTTTGCATAGTGACTGCTAACAGATGAAATTTGAGAGGATATTATTTTAAGTATTTCAAAGTGTCCTTCCTTAAATATATAATGAAAATGCTAATAAAAGCCCAAAATTAACAAAGTAACTGAAAGTTATTTTTACAAGAAAAAAAAAAACCAGAGTTAACTGTAATGTAATTAATTATCTCAGTTTTAATATCCTGTAGTTCCCCCACTAGAACAGCAGAGACAGCTG